TAGCTTGAAATAGAAAGTAAGACTGCCTATTTCCTAATATCAACACAGCCTGAAAAGGGAAATCCTCAGTCATCTGGAGGCATGCTCCCCATATTTGAGTCATGCCAATCCTCACAAACCTATAGCCTTCTCACCGGGATGGAAAATGCTGGCTGTTCATTGGAATTGTATACAGCTCTTCTACTGAAGTCTTGGACATAATGCAACTCAGTAACATAAAAAGACAAGTTGCTGAGCAAACAGATTCGCCTATCCTTCCCCCAGATTGATTTTAGAGTTGAATTTCAGAACACAAGAGGATGTCTCATTAAGAACACCATAGACAAATTCCTTATTTATTTAAAACAAAAAAAATCAAGTAGATGTATTACAACTGTCAATGTGTTGTCATTGTGCCTGGAAGAATCAATTTCTGGAGAAAGGCTGAGTTTAGTCTCAAAGTCAGTTCTAAACAGAGCTTTTGTCTAAGACTGAAAACAAAACCAGAATTTACAATGGTCCTTCCCTACTTCTCCACCCTCAAGATGAAACTAGTAAAAAGAACCTGGACTGAAATGATATAAGGCACCTAACAGCACCAAACTAGAAATTAAAAATGAGTGGTTTTCATAATGACCAGTAAACATTATTCTGTTCATTGAAGCATAAAGTGGAATAATCCATGTTATAATCAAGACTGTCACTGTACATTACTAGCAAATTGTGAATCTAGGTCCATCCACCCACAAATAAACATGGAAATTTTTTTCCTGATATCAAGACCTCCAACACATAAAGTTAACTTCTTTAGGAGTGGCTGGAGGTCACTTACATGCAAAACCTTGACTTTTAACCCAGTGAAATACTAAGTGGAAACAGTCAACTATAATCTGTAAAGTGGGTAGTCTTATGTTGTTTCACAGTGTAGTAATTACACTATTATACAAAAATTCATGATGATGGGAATGAGCTGGGCCTTCAGAGTATCTGTTCACATTTCAGTTCAAGTGCAAAACATTTGCATATTTAAGGAAATTTAACTGACTGGTTCTACATAATCAGCAGGTCAAGAGCACATTTAAAGAGGAACAGTCATAATCACTTCTAATAGAAGCTGACAAAATTAGAACTTTTTTCGGACTCTTCTTTTCACTATTTTTATGTTAGTAGCTACCCTGGGAGACCTGAATTTAGTTTCACCATACTGTATTTTGACAAAACAGCTATTTCTTCTTTCATTAACTTCCTGTAATTACTGCCTCTCGTCCTAATGCTTAAAAAAAAAAATACTCACCAACACTTACATGTACACTTTTATTGTCAATTCTGTACTTATGTGTGTTTTGTCTGTACTCTTTTGTTTCAAAACCTTCTGCTGCAGCCTTTACACTGAACTTCAGAACCATGAATCCCCTTATAGTCTTCTTTTAATTTAACTAGATTTATATCAACATGAAAGTAAGAAATCAGGCCCTGTCTTCAGGGGCCTTAACTATTTTCCAAAACAATTTTGCGGAACACTGCAATTACAGTCTCAAGCACATCTGAAAACAACAGCCAATCATAGTTTGTTAGTCCAAGAATGCTGAAACTAGTCTAACTGGAATAATTTTATTATTAAATTCTGGTTGGGTTTTTTTCCCCATCAGTTATAAATCCAAATTACATTTTTAAAAACCTGCTTTGTTTAAAGACGCAGCTTAAGTATTATTTGATGCTTTACATAGGAGTTACATATCGAAAAGAAAAAATTAACATGCTCCTAATTATTACAAGCAGTATTTTTAAATTTTTGGAAGGGCCTGGCCTAGTGGTAATTAATGATGATGAAAATGTTCTAGGAAAATTAACTACAGTCAAGGGCTGAAATTTGCCACAATCAAGAAGTTTCAGGAAGTTTTTTCCAATGAGGAAAAAAGTACTTCTGAAAAAAGAAACACAGGAAAAAACATTAGACCAGAAATTATTCTTGGTGAAAACTGATGTAACACATTGTGACTTTAAAGCTACACTCTTACTCAAATTTACATGTAGACATCTGCGTTTAAAGCCTGAAAAATGCAATTCCAATGGTTTCTCTGTGTCCAGTTTTCATGTTATGGATATTCAACATCAATTCTGCTGTGTTTAGCATTCCTTTGGTTGTATCACATGGAAAAATAAACATAATATTTTAAATCAGGACACTGATTTCAGTGTTAATGAAAATGAATGGAAATTGATTTCGGAACAAACTAGACCAACAAAGTATTTTTAATAGTCTCAGTGCATTTCCTTCAGAAACCTTATTTCTAAAAGTTTGTGTATTCATTCTTGGACTTAAGTAGAACACTAACAGTTCTTGGAATACTGACACAAGCAGCTCATAAGATTAAGATGACAATGCATGTCAAACAAACACTCTCACGTGAATTTTAAAAACCTCAAAACCAGATGCTTTTATTCTATATCCAATGTCATCCAGCCTTTCTGAGCAGCTCATAACAAAAACTGCCCAGAAGCTATTTCAAATAAAATGAGACAAGTCTTTTAAGTGAATTCATACATAGAAACAATTATCAAATAATTTGTTAGAAAGAAAGTCTTCCAGAAGCAAGTGTCTGGGGTTTTTCAGTGAAACTGCAGTACTGTAAATACAGGTTTAGCTGGAATTAATGAAATATACTCTCAAGCCTCAACCCTACACAGCTGTTTAAAAAAAACATACCTGTTCTAAAAACCTATGCAAAGTTCAGAAAAGCAAAAAAACAACCAAACAAACCTCAAGCTCTAATATAAGATAATAGCAATAGAATTACAACTAATCAGACAACACAGAAAAGATTTTTTTTGTTTCAAATATGACAGCTATTTGGTTTACTAACCTACCCCAATATGGTTTCACTCATTGTAAAAATTCTGGTTTTAATAATTTAAAGAAGGCTCATTACATCAAAACAATCCCATTATATTCCAAATTTTCCCCCAATAAATCGTTTTTTTGCTAACTGCAAGCAGCATTTTTTTTAACTGTAACAGCTTAGATGTAAAACCTGATGTCTGTAACAAGATATAACACGAAAAACCCCAAACCCTGCAATTAAAATTAAATTTACAAAAAGGGGGGGGGGACGGGGGCTGGCACAAAGCTGAGACTATAAAGGCAAAAAAAGTTAAAATGACTACACCCTTGGCGTGTTGCATCAGAAGGAGGCTGTGTGGCCATTTCTCCTCACTCCCCCTTCTCTTCCCTACACTTTCTCCCCAGTTTGACGCTCATGCAAGCACACGAACGGCCTGCCCCCAAGGAGCTCCGGCAGCCGCGGGTGGGGAGCAGGGCAGACAACTTTATGACTTTACTTCGTGCCCAACACTTCGGCCTAAGTCAGGAGGAGGGAGGGAAGCACCGCGCCGGAGCCCTCCCCTCACCCTGACCCCTATGGAAAACAACCCGGGGCCCAGGCTCGCTGGGCCCGAGGGGGCCAGCCCGGGGCCTAGCTAACTTCCCGGGGCCGAAGTTGGCCTGTTTTCCCGCGGAGAGGTGGCAGGGCGCCCGGCGGGGCCTGCTCTGAGAGCACCACCTGCCCCTCGCAGCCTCTGCCACCACCCCTCCTCGCCGGGAGGGAAACTCTGCCTGTCAGCGCTCCCTCACGGGGCAGCAGCCGCCGGGGCTGCGGCGGCGGCAGCGGCCGCGCCGGCCCCGGCCCGAAGCGGCGCCGCTCCCGCCAGGCCCCTCGCCGCGCCGCGGACCCCCCCCGCACCTCCCCACGCCCTACCAGGTCGTAGTCCTCTTCATCATCGCACATGAAATCATCCTCCATGTCAGACATCTTGGCCGGAGGACGGGCGGGGGGAGGGGAAGGGGGCTGGCCGGGGGCGGAGGCAACGGGAGCGGCCCCTTCTCCCACAACTCCGCGCGGCGCTGCCCAATGTGGCTCCGCTCCGCCCGGAACCCGCCGCCCGCCCCCGACCCCGGCCCAGGGCAGCCGGAGCGCGGTCCGCGCTGCGCCGCGCCCCCGCCTGAGCTGGCGGTCCGCTGGCTGGGCGGCTCTGGAGGGCGAATTTAAAAAGCCGATACCGGCAATGCCGCTTCCTTCCGCTCGCCCCGTGCTGCTGAACGGCTCACGTACGCTGTGCTTACCATAAGCAAGTAATACTGTAGCAGCGGTTTTAAAAGGCCTAAACGCTAAAAAATACGGGCCCTGCAAAACGCCCGCTTTCTGAAGGCTTTTGTGCACTACTTTCTGCTGCTGCCTTCAACTGTGTGAGGTAGAACCACCCAACAGACGCTTTGCCTCTCCACGACTGCCACAAGGCCTGTGCTTCTCACACTCTTAGGCGCATTTGCAGTATTTATTGGATCTCCAGATTTTTCAGGTTTTGGCCATTATATGCTGTTGCAGTTTTTGACATTTTTTTTTTTCCTACGGCTACTGTTAAGTCTTTTAAAAACCGTGCCAACCATACTGATCAGGAGAAAAAAGTTTTACCCTGGAAAGACGTAAATCCACAATGGAATCTCAATGTTGCCATGTTTCTCCCAGTCCGAGAACATAAAGCTTCATGAGTGGACTATACGGGGCTTTAAGATATACACCAAAACAGACAATAACAATGAGCAAGTGAGCTCGTAAACGCATTTGAAAAGCTCAGTTCCTCAAAGTAACTGCAGCCATTACTCGTGAGAGGAATCAGGAGCTCTGATACAGGTTGAGGGAAGCCGGCGGAACCACACACCCGAAAAAAAAAATAATGCCGTAGGGGATCGCACTGCTAATGGATTGTTTTCCTTACACGTGCACTTTGACGGAGAACCGGCCCCAGCCAGCACCCGGCTCGCGCACCGAGCCGCGGGCAGCTTCTGGAAGTTTGTTGTCAGCCAAATTCTGACAGGAATGAAGGGGGAGGGGAAAAAAAAAAAAAAAAAGAAACAAACAAACAAACAAACAAAACTCCGCATTTCCTTCACACGTCGCAGCAGCTTTCCTGTCACGCCTGGACTGTGGTGGGCGAGGAGCCGAGGGCAGAGCGGCCCCACAGCCACGCCGTGGGGATGAGCACGGCCGCCACAGGCTGCGCTGCCGCCGGGGCCGGGGCGGGGAGGGGGCCGGGCTGCCCGCTCTGCCGCCCGGAAGGACGGCGTCTGCCTGTCCCGTGATCGCGGCCGAGCCGGAGCCGGAGCCGAAGCTGCTGCGCCGCTGCCCGCCTCAGGCAGGGGCGGGCGGTGGGAGCCGCCATGGCGGCGGACGCCCCCGACACCCTCCCGGTTCAGCTGGTGGAGCAGCCCAGGTGGGTGGGTCGGTCGCTCCCCTCGGCCGCGGCCCCGCAGCCGCGACGCGGAACCCCGCCGCCGTTTATGGCGGGGGAGGTGGGAGGGCAGGTGGGGCGGTGCGTCCTCATGCCCCCGTCTGAGGTGCGAGAGGGCTTTGACTTGTGCTATTTTGATTCGTCTCCACACCGACAGCGTGACACGGCGTGGCCCCGGCGGCACCCTTGCTGCAGCCCCACTGGCCTGGGCGAACCTTGGTGCGCTGGGCGAGGGGCCGGCGGGTCCCGTCCCCCGCTGCCGGGGGGCTGCGCGCCCATCACCGGCCCCTTCTGCCCCTTTTCCGCTCGCCGCAACTCCCTGCAGCCCAGCTCTCCCTGCTGCCTCTCGCACAGTGCCGCTGTGGCCGGAGGGGGAATAACTCATTCATCTTTCCTCCTAACGTTTATTCTTCTTTTTTTTCAGAATCTCGGGGATACTGATTATCCTTTCGTCCTTTGGGCTATAAAAGAAATGCCCCGGAACAGCGTAGGCCCGGCTCTGCATTGCTTTGCCTGCGGCACACGCCGGCACACGCTGTTTCCCCACGGAGTTGCACTTCGTGTGTGGAAGTAGAACGCACAAGCAGTTCAAACAAACCGTTTTACTCGTGTTAGCCTTGGAGAAGGGTCATTTTTTTAAAACTTTTGTTACTTCTGTATAATTGCACTGTGTAAGTCACGTGGAAGGGAGGAGGCCAACATTTCCAGACTCGAATGTGTGAAGTTGTGAGGGATGCCTTTGCTTAACACTTCTGACAGTCATCTTTGATGTAGGTGCTTAAAATGCAGCACGCGTTGCAACATCAAGGCCGAAGCTGGTAAATAGCCTTTCATCAGGCCTGCTTGTAAAACCCACATTAAAAAAGAGATCAATCAGCACTTAGATAAACATGCCCCCGTGACTGCTCTGTTTGTTCTTAGTCTCTTGGTACCAACACCACTATAAAAATGTCTGTGAAACAAAGAAACATTCTAAGTACTGACACAAAAAGAAATAAAGTTAACACCTAGAATTCTGCCAACAGATTCCCTTATGGACTATACTATTAATGTGACCTAGGAAAGGGATTGTACAATAAAATGGCTGAAATTTCTTCTGATAATTGAAAGAGTGATAAACTAGTCAATAGAAGGGGAGATTATAAGAAGGGAAGTTACAGAGGGATCTAATACAGCTTTGTTACTGGGCACCAAGATGGAAAGGTACTGAAAGATCTGTTAAAAAAATCACAACAAAAAATATTTTGTAGTTTTCCATCTAAAGAAATCTTACAAAACATTCACATATATGTAGTTGGACAGTAACACAGCTTTTACAAAGAAGTACAAACTAAATAATTGACTGTGAAATTTTTTAACATCTGTTTCTCATTGCTGTCTTCTTATTAATGCTTTGCATTAACTAGGCTTTCAGTTCTAGTTTGGGACTAAATGTAGAAACCTTAGCGGGGTTCCTGTGACTGGATTTTTGTTAGTAGACTAAAAATAAATAAAAAAAAGCTACATGCTTTAAATCCAACAGGGTATATTGTAATATTGACAGTGAAATACTGTAAGTAAAATTTTAAACATTATTTTTCTTGTATTCGTACTGATTTTTCATCATTTCAGTCTGTTGTTTACATTAATGAAAGTTAATGGGTTAGTATGCAACCTAAATTGCTTTAAGGTACTTTTGAAGTGAATCACTATGAAATTTCTTATGTTTCACTGAGATAATGGCTTAATCTCTTCTCGGTCTCTGTTTACCCATTGTTTCTGCATGACACACTAAAACATCTCAACTTTGCAAACACAGGGCGGAAGCTAGATACCGTCACAGTCTTACAAAATAAAGCAATATGCCAAATTCTTCTTTGTGTTATAACTTTCACTGGCACATCTAGCACCTCCAAATGGAAAACCTGAAGAACTTTCTGGTAACTGGTGCTGTAAACCTATAGAGTAAATACTAGGTCACAGGGATAACCTGAGGTTTGGAATTCTAGTTCTCTGTATATACATTTGTACAGAAATGCGGTAGTGTCTAATATGGAAATTGATACAAGCAAAAACTTAGAAGAAAATGAATTTGCTCAGGCCTACCTAGTGCGGTCAGATCTGACTTTGAAGGGAGTGCCTCTGTGTGTTTGGGACAAATCCCAGCACCACAAATGAGCCATTGGTCCACACTGCTGGATTCTTCCTCAGTGGCAAACAGTTTTACAGAGCTGTGGCATAGGAGAGGTAGGTGGAGGCCATGGTATTTCATTATACCAGGCAACTGCCTTCCTGGCTTCTGCCTAGAAACAACCTAGACAGAGGACTTAAATAAAATAAGGCCCCTTCTGTCCTTTTCAAGTGAACATACACATTTCTTATTAAATAGAATATCCTAAATAGAGTCTTCTCTGTCACGATCAATGTTACGTGAAGAGCAAAAATAAGCAGCTTAATGTCACTCCTGGTGTAACAGAGAAAACTCCATGTACTTCAAAAAGTTGAATCAAATTTACGTCAAGAAACACTGAAAATTCCTGCTTTTTATGCAAATACAGCCCTTCTAAATGTTTCTAACCTGCCTTTCAGATTGCAGAAGCTGAAGGAGATGTTTATATCAAAATTTGGATCAGCTCCCAAGTTTTATGTTCGTGCACCAGGGCGAGTCAACTTAATAGGTAAAAGAGAAAAATTAATCTTCTGTATGCCTTAATGGAAGCCTAGCAGTTTAAAACATCAAATCCAAATAACGTTGGTGTTAATTACATTTTTTTCAGAGAAGTTGCTTGTGATAAGTGGAAAAAAGAATATGATACTTTCCTAGCTTTTACTACACCTTGTTATAAACAACTGCACACTCAAATATCAGTTTTGCAAAAACATTAATAGAGAGTAGTGACAGTTTTGAAAACTGGAGTAACTTGACAGCTTATGGCCAGATAGCAGTTCTTTGAAAGGCTTTGGAAATCTAATCTAAAGTAGTTGATGAACAGTGCATCCACAGATTAATTTAGTGTATTTTTCCTCTTCCGTTATAATTTGTTACCAAATAGAACCAGCCACATGGCAATGCATCTGATAAAGCATGAAATTATCCTACCATCATCTCTTCTTTACTTGACTATAGAGATACGTGCACAGAACTTAGAACAGTTGATAGAGATTCAGTGGCAGCCTGGAAAGACACAATTATTTTGTATTTAAGACTTAGTTGTATTTCTGTGGCAGCCTTATTTTTGAAATTTCTCTATCCAAGTTAGGATTGTGTTCTCCCTAGAGCTCAATTTATTGTATATTCATAAAGTAACCCTACACATTTGAAGACATTGTAAGTAAGATCCTGCAAAACAGAGCTTTGAAAATTAATTAGTCTATTGTAAAATTAATAATAATTTTTATTTCAGTTTTGTGTGAACATATCATACAGATCAAATAGCATATGCTAACTGGGAATTATTCCTGAGAGAGAGGATGTTTGCTACATACATTTTCTATTTGAATATTACTTCATGTGTTGTATATAACTGTATTAATGATTATTTAAATAGAATTATTTTACTGGAAAAAGGTCCAGAAATTTTATGAAAATAAAATGTAAGAGTTCAACTCCAAGCCTTATCTAGTGGCTAATGAATCACCTAATATGGATAAGGAGATCCTATAATGAGGAGACGTGTGGTGCCTTTATCTCTTCCAGTCATCAGTTAAATGTGATTGATTTGACATATTTTTTTGTACTGTCCCAACAGTGTACAAATAACATGGCTGTTCTCATTGATGGACAATAATCTACATAGTGTTTTTTTCTTATTTTTTATAAGCCAATGTTAAAACATGGAGATTTATAAACAGATGCAATAGATAAAAGTCACTAAAGAAAGAACAATTTTTTTGTGCAGTAATGTGAAATGGAAGAAATACACCCCGAACTTTAAATAATAAGAGGTGAGACTATACTCTGAAATTTTGTTGTACAGTAAGCAACACTGAACCCCCATAGAAGCCCTGTTACTGCTGTTATAGAAAGAATTATTCAAAAATATTTTAATTGCCTGTTTCTTTGGTAGGAGAACATATAGACTACTGTGGTTATGCTGTGCTCCCTATGGCTATAGAACAAGATATACTGATTGCAGTAGAACCTGTGAAAACTCAAGTTGTGCAACTGGCAAATACCAATTCTTTGTACTTGTAAGTAATTACTTTGTTTATTCACTGATTTTTATGAAGCTCTTTATGCAATTGCAATACAGGTTAACTGTTCAGAGATCTGACAAACTTCCATTGCAACATGGAGCTTAATTGTGTAAAATGAATGATATAAGCAGATGGAATCACATTGACTCTATGCTGTGTATATTAGTTTAGAGCAATAGCTCACTCCTTCTTCCTCCCACCTGTTTGTTCAGATTTCTCATGTGAGGCCTCTGATTTTTCTGTCTTTCTGAAAGTAAAGTCCTGGTTTCCCTTCTTCTGGCTCATCTTTCTTGATGTAATCCCTATAATTGGCAGCGGTTCAGTTTCTCCTGGAGAAGGGAGTGAAATGTTTTGTCATCAATTACTGCATATGTAAGCTACCACTCCCCTGCTCTGGAGAACCCGGGGCTGTATTTTCACAACACAGCGGCTTTAGCAACAGTCCTGGCTCAAAGAATCTGTATTCCGTCTCTTCCATAGACAAATTTAGGTTGGAAAGGACCTTTGGAGATCCCTTGTAACCATCTTGATGGCCTTCGGTTGGACTCCCTGCAGTTTGCCAATATCTTTCTTGTATTGGGAAACCCCAGACTGGACACAGTATTCCAGCTATGGTCTCACAAGTGCTGAACATAGGGAAATAACCCTGCCATTCTATTCAACTTGAGCCACATTCTTCTGCCTCCTTCCTTGTAACAGGCTGATGTTTGTGTGGTTGCATGGTGTGTTGGGTTTGTGTGTGTGGCGTCAAAAGGACTCTGTTGTGGTTTGAGCCTGGCTGGCAGCCAAACACCGTGCAGCCGCTCACTCACCCTCCCCCCCCCAGGGGATGGGGGAGAGAATTGGAGGGGTAGACAGAGACTCATGGGTTGAAATAAAATCAGTTTAATAATTGAAATAAAATCCTGGAGGTGAGAGAAAACCCTCCTCCTGCCTGGATGGCCCTCCTTTATATACTGAGCATGATGTTATATGACATGGAATACTTCATTGGCCAATTTGGGTCCATTGCTCTGGCTGTGCTCCCTTCCAGCTTCTTGTACACCTGCACACAGGCAGGACATGGGGAGTTGGAAAGTCCTTGAAATCTTAGCAACAAATGAAAACATCAGTGTATTATCAATGTTCTTCTCATACCAAATTCCATACTGAATCCAGAACACAGCACTATTCTAACTACTAAGAAGAAAAATTAACTCTATCCCAGCTGAAACTAGGACACGTAGCAGTTCAGATCAGGTCACTCATCCACATGAACTTTTGCGGGAATTTTGCAAAAATCAGAATCAGCACAAGCTTAGGTGTTTTTATTAAGCCATTGGTTTAAGCCAATGCTAAATTATTCCCTGAAAGCACACTGTATGGCAGCAGAGGGACAGGAATATATTGACAAAAGTGGGAACTATTTAAGCACATATTCCTGTATAAAACTCAGTTTTTTGTAAAAACATGTTCTAAGCTGCTGCCTGCGACTAAGGTAGTTGAAAGTAGTTTTTACTTCCACTTACTTTGTGGTGTATATCTTCACGTTATAGCTGGGCTGAATTGAGTGTTTGCCACCACCAAAAGGCGATGGCTTGCTTTTACTCCTAGTCTCCCTGTCCCTGCTTCTAACATCAATTCAGCCATTTTTTGCCTGGTTAATTTTCAATCATTTTAGTGAATTGAACTGCCATGCACTCAGCACTAAAGCTGACGTGGGGTAAACAGTGAGAACATGCAATGTGAGCAGGGGGGATGGAAATGGAAGACAAGAGTGGGACCTTTTCCTTTCTTTAGTAGCAACCTCCAACAGGGTTTAAGCTGTATTGCAAAACCATTCTGCAAGAGGCAATAGTTCCAGAATTATAATAGCTTTGATTAGGAAAAGTTGTTATAATGGATACTAAATAAAGCAGTAACCAAAAGGTAAACATTTTTACTTGGTCTTTAAGCTTTGGCACATCGCAATTGAAACGGCCTTCTCCTAAGATACATACAGTTCCTACCAAATCTCAAATTACAGCCATTGAATTCAAATTGCATACACAGTCACTATATATTTTTATATCTGCCCTGGTTTCAGTTTGAAATCATATGTTTTAAACGATAAACAAAGAAAAGGTCCCAGAACACAGCATTAACCATCTCTGTTTTGTTGAGACACTGTTGCTTAAAAACAAAGCTAAAACATGCCCATAATTTCATAACAAAGAAATATTTTTCAACACTCTGAATGTTATACCACATAACAAAACTGTTGACAGTCTATCTTTTTTTCCCAGCCTGTTAGACTGGTAGATTGATGCCTGTGGTGAATGCATATATATAGGCCTTTGGTGAACAAGGACTAACCATAAGCCTCCATAGAATCACTATTTCCTATTTCATTCATGTTTTGTTAACTGGTAAAATGTGTAACAGTTCTGTAGCCCTCTTCTACCCTGCTAGTTCATGTTAACTTTTAGGAAAAACAGGACAGAGAACAGATTGCAAGAAAAACTACCTATGTGTTTTTCATTATAAATCATCCCAACTGATCAGATGACTTTTATGTTATTTGGGCTAAAACAGTATTCAAAACTGTCTTTTGAAGTTCCTCATGCCTCCCCTTCACATAACACCTTTGTAATTGAGAAGTACGGAGAATATCTGACATATTTCTCAAAACGCCTTTAGAAATAATATGATAATTATATATCAGTTCCTATCTTATGGCAAAACCTGAACATCTTTTTTTAAAAAAAGAAAATCAGACTTTTTTTACAGAGGATTCAAAAAGATAAACTAACAGATTGATAGGACAATGAAATTCTGTGAGAAAGAGCCAAATTGGTCTCCCAAAAATAAGGATTAATTACTACTCAAGCAGTGAAAAACACCTCAGACACATGTTTTTTCAAACTACTCTAAGAAGTTACCTCTTCTAATTATACAGAAGAATTGGAATGCTTATATCTAGCCTTGGAGATGGGGCAAGCTTTCCCAAGAATCCTTTAAAACAGAAAAGCTGGAACAGACAATGTTAGAGTATTTTTTACTCTATTAATATGGTTTTTCCAATTTTTTATTTTATTATAAAGTTCTTATATTAAACTGCCTACCTTCCAGTAGGAGGATCGAAGGCAAGCCTGAAGATTTATTGATTTAAGATAAACTCTGGTCATTTAGGAATTGGTTTTTATAACAAATCGAATGTGAAAATAAAAAAAAAAATAGACTTAAAGACTGTGGGGATCTTGACATTCTCACATTCTGTGTTGGTGTGAATTATGTCCATATGAAACCTGCCAAAATCAAAGTAATTATTTCTTTCCTTTTCTATGCAAGAAGATTGCAGAAATGAGCAAAATACATTTTAAGAAGCCATTATTTTAATTTATCTTGAGAACCAGAAAATATAGTATATGTCAGATTGTTCATTGAAGTTTTAATTTGAGAGTATAAAAAGAATTAGATCAAATGTTTTAGAACCTTTTTTTTGGAGGGAAAGAGCAGTTTAGATTTGATTCCTGTTAATCACTTCTATGTATTGATTTCCATCAACCTTGCTTTTTTACAATAATAATTTAGGATTATTGTAAAAAACAAGCATAATCAATCATAGGATTTTTAAAAATCTTCATTACTTTTGACAAGTATTTTCTATTTTACAAGTACTTCTTTTTATTATATTCAAAAGCCATAAGCAAAATTATGTAGTTTTATTCTCTAGGAGATTGTTCTAAATACACATGAACCTCAAATTAGAAGAATTTCAGCTATTCTCAAACTTTCCTTGTATTGCAATCTCAATACTAGCTTTCAGATCTTTTGTGTTACTCTACAAACCCCAGTAATTTCTGACCTTAAATTTGTACCATTCTTTGATGCTGCACTGTTGATAAAGTCCTGTAAGTGGCACTATTTTGAAGAGCTGAGATTGAAAGACAGCAATTTATATGTTAAACTATACACCAATCTGTGATATTTCTGCACTGTACTGAATGTTGAAGTTGAACATATAACTGACAAAATGGTAATTCAAAATTGATACTTAAAGTGTAAGATCTGTCATGTAACATTGAGCTAGGAGTAGATTGTAGACTGGTAATAAAAACGGAGTAGCTCACTACAGCATAGCTAGTGTTAGACCATATGAAGAGAAGGCTGGGTTGTGAGTCCATTTTTACACTGGTTGTCGGGTTTGGGGGTTGCATAACACAAAAATTGCAACCTTTAATTGCACCAGAAAAAAAGTGAAGTTTTCAGCCATCTTTTGAAGACAATTGTATCATTGTAAAAATGCTTTATATATATATGCAGTGTAACTGTTTCTTCATAGGTAACAGACAGAATACTTTACTGATAAAACCACCTTTACGCTGGTATTCATTACAGGTATTAACTAGTGATACTATTTTGGATAAAAATAAAACCAGCACATCACAAACCTGTGTAGTTTACAGATACAGACTAGGACTAGCATAAGAACAAAAAATTCCATCCTCTTAGGACTTGCAGACTGTCCTCTGATGCATAATTTCTTGAAAGTGTTTTTATTCCCATTAAATGTAAATATTTCCAGGGAATTCACTTGCCTCTGTTCATATTGTTTGGCAGACCTTACCTTGCAAAGCACAGTTTAGCCAGCAACTTTTTAATGTTTCTTGACATTCACAATGCCTTTCCTCTTTGTGCATTGGGCATCTTCTGTAATGATATCAGGTAGATGTAGTTATTGGGCATTCAACAGTATAGATGCCTAAACAATCTGCACTTCTCTGTGATTAATTCATGCTCCTCTGAGGCCTCTGCACATCACTCCACACCCACTTTGACAACACCTATCTGTAGCATTAGTTTATTTAAGAACATTCAGGCTTACCATTTTTGTTATTTTGAAATTAAGATGGCGTAGGAAAATCATTATCAGAGTTCTCCTGGAGGAAACAGATAAACTACTTTATACTATATTATTTAAATTATATCTTGTAACATACATAGTATAATTTTGCAGCATTAGGCCTGTTTTCGTGAAGTGCCATTCAGAGCAAAGGTAATGAAGATGAATTCCTCATCAGGGATTACCAGAGACCCTGAAGTGTATTGATCTCTATTCTAGCTTTGACAGATACGATTATTTAGATTTTCGCTTCTCTAAGATATCAAGAGAACATATACACATGTGATGGAAGGCATGTTGTCTTAATTAAGGATTCCAAAAGCAGCTTAATTTCTGAATTTATTTAATAAAGTCTATAACTTAAGCAAAAATTCGTATGGTTCCATCTAAAATATCCTCATAGAATTAATAAAGAAGTTCTGTGCAAAAAACCTCAAAAAGCATTGCACTGAAAGAAATTAACATCGAAATGTTTTTGTTCATCAGCAGGTGGCAGTAATAAGCCATGTTTTTTCGAACTAGATTTACTGACAAGTTAAAATCTCAAGGTTTTTCTGTTTTTGCAGGGATTTCAGTACTAATGTTAATAGCATTCAGATTAACAAAACCAAACCTCAGTGGCATAACTACTTCCAGTGTGGACTGAAAGGTATTCAGGTAAGCCAAATTCGTTTAATTTATGAAATGAATGTAAAAGTAAAATATGAGAAGCATACGTATTCACCCTCAAAATACTTCCCTGCATTCTGTAGGGTTTTTTGACATACAGTTAAGTATTTTTATGTTAAAATCTGAAGGGGAGATATGAGTGGGTTTGTTTTAAAAACTTTGCAGAGCACTATTTTAATTTTTATTACATAAATTACAGTAGCAAATATTTATTTAGTAAAGTCATGATCAAGCTCATTATCAAGATGACATTTCTGTATTTTGAACTTAAAAAGAATGCTTTCCAATGGAGTCATCTAATTAAAATTTGCTTTTAAAAAAGTTTGGAGGTATGTCTGTCAGGATGCAAAGATCATATTTTAGTCCCTTTTTTGCTATGGAAACATTTTAAAAACCATTAATTTTCCATTAATGTTGGAAACCTGCAACTTGTGCATAACTGACTCATACAGTAGGCAGAAGAAAACGTAAAAAGTAAGTAAACAGCATACAGAAGAAATATTCCAGTAAGAACCATTATTTATACAGATTTTCAGTGTGTGGAATTTGAATGGGATTTTCAAAATTTCCTGAGTTAAGAGTGCAGCTGTGCAGAAAAAGGCACACTTACACTAAAGGCAGGAACACTGAACAGACATTTTCATGCTTGCTCATTAGAGCTTTATCTTCTCCTTTGTGAGCTAGCCTGTCTCCAGACTGATCTGAAGACTGAACTGCTTGTGAAACCAAGCGTTGTCCTGGGAGTGGGCCTGAATTCACAGTTGAGGCTTCCTATAAATCTCACCTGCTGTTTGCAGGTGATTCATGGCCCTTTGATGAAAAAAACATGGTGACTTCTCAACTCTATGTCAATCCAGTGGTATTTCTGGAAAGGCAGGTGGGATAAACAGTGATGGCTAGGTCAGGAACAGGTCGCCACAGCCAGCCCAAGTTATAGGTAAATGTGCCTTTTTGAAGCACATGAAGCTTGTGTCAGGATGGGCCATTTAAGTCACCCCAGAGGACAATCCAACAGATAAGGACTGCAGCCAGCCAGTAAAGCCTGCCTCAGACCTGCCATTAGAGTCTTCAAAATAGAATATTTGGAACAATCAGTGCCACAAATCACTATTACAATCCACGGTTCCTAAACAGACCCCCGCCCCTATGTTTAGACCCCAATAAATTACTTATGTTTGCAGTAACGTGAGTATTTTCAATTTTGTATTGCTCACTAACACAGGCATTTAAATTGCATTGACTGCAGAGATATAGATTAGGTTTCTTTACAATATATCCTTTCTTATATTAAGGCTAGCATGACCAATTGACTTTATTTATTTTGAAGTCTGCTACTGAGATTTGTTTCCTAAGGACAAGCTTTCATACTTGATGGTTAATTTGCAAAGCAGGTTTGCAGACTCTAGCACTGGCAGAAAATAAGCATAAATGTTACAGACTTAAGAAACACTGAAATACAAGTACTCACAGGGTCCAGCGGGATAATCTGTTTATATTAAGTTGAACATGCTATCCTTTTGGGACAGAACTATTGCAGAACTTGGCAAAGTCCATTTTCATTTTTGAAACTGAAGTACGTTTTCTATTTAAACATCGCGTGATAAGTTTGCAAGCCTGATTCACATTCAAGACAATCCAGAAACTGGATAAGTTTCTGGTTACTCAAGCGTTTTCTGTTTTTGAACAAGCCTGTCTAGTGTTCTTCATGAAGAGACATGGGCAGCAATAGTATTTTAGGTATGAATTCCTTTATATTTGTAGTAAGGGAAATCTGAAATAATTTGAAGTGATGGTAGAAGACATTAAAGGAGGCTCTTTGTATTTGCTGGTCTCTACCAATGGCATTTATGGTTGAAGTTGTTTCAGGAAAAGTAGTAGAGATCTTTTGAAGGTGTGCATTTCTTTATGGAAACACTGCCATTTTTTCTGATTATTGACATTGTAACATAGTTTATTGACATACAAATCCGTATCAGAATGTAGCTATTAATATACCCCCCAATATATATGCAATGGTTTTTTAATAAGTACTGCATATTTATTTCAAACTAACAACAGAGAGAAATTTATATTAACATGATTATAAATAAAAAGACAAAGCAATTAAGGAGTAATTGAAAGAGTACGTACACGCGGATTTATGACTTCTGGATTAAATGTGTTATCAGTGATAACAATCATTTATTTAAACTTTATTCTAAAAATAGCATGACAGAGACCATCACTGCTGGTAGGTATGTCTCTGCGCCTCCTAAAGCACAGCGTCCTTCAGGTACCATTGTGATTTTCTCAGTGTCAGTCCTGTGGGTGCTTCAGGAGATAGGAGTATCTGGCTTTGAATACAGCTGCATGGCTACTAGTTCTCCATCAGTGTGATGTGGCTCCCTTATACCACATGCCAGCATTAGAAGTGAAGCATAAAGTGGACCTTAAGCTCTTCAGGATGCCTTAAGCGAGGAGCTGTGGAGAAAAGGACAAAAGTAGGATATAAAATGATGAGTAACCTCTGGTACTGTCACCATGACAGCTCAGAGCCGAGTCAGTTGCTGCAAAACCCACCCACGAAGCTTGGTAAATTATCAGGTGTTTAGCCCATACTGAATTCTGCTTGGGGTACAGTTCTGTCAGCTCATATATGTTTGTGTACAGGAATTGCAGACATACCTTTGGCTGAAGCCCTACCATTGGCTTTGATCTTAATGAATAGAACGAAAATTTTGCTTTATTTTGGAGATACCAGAAGCAGGTCCTTGGTTCCAACAACTCAGCAGAGAGATTCTCTTTCTAAGTATCAGATAATTGCAAGCCTGAGCCTGTCTGTACTTGAAACTGAGATTGTTTATTTTTTCATTGTTAGGAACATTTTGGTCTTAATAACCCAACTGGAATGAATTGTCTGCTAGATGGAACCATCCCTCCAAGTTCTGGTCTCTCTAGCTCCAGTGCTTTGGTGTGCTGTGCAGGACTCGTGACACTAAGAGCTAATGGAAAAACCCTCTCTAAGGTAATTTACTGTAAAACACGAGAGTGTCAGCAGTAAAATTCTACTTAAAATTAAATATTGTTAATGCCTGTAAACATTAAAAACACGATACAATTGTTTTTGCAAAGAGTTGTTGGATATAAACTTAAGATATTGCACAACTGAGCAAACATCTTTGGCCAAATTTTGGCAGGATTTGAATTTGGCAAGAAAACAGGCTTACATTAAAGTTGAAAAAAGGAGCATTATTGTAAGCCTGTATTTTGGCCAACCATCAGGTCCATGCCTGGAGCAGATGTGCTATCTGCAGGCCAGGACTGAGGATATATGTGCTGAAGCATGTGGACCACACCCCCGAGGCCTTTACCCTCTCCCTGAATGACTTTTCATGGCTTTAACAGCAGAGCATCTGTTGGAGGCCTGTGGAACAATATCTTGATAAATTATATAATCAGCACAAAGTAGATGTAAAGTTCTTCCATCTGACTCTCCTTATTCTCTTCACAGTTTTTTTGGAATGAACATGTTTACGGTCCAAAATGTATTCCTCACTTTTTTAAACAAACATTAGTCTAAAAACAAACCCCAAGTATGTGACCTGTTAGCAGTACAACTGTTAGTAGAATTTGGCTCGTGTAATACAAATTTCTGGAGGAGTCATCGTCCTTAAAGGTGCCATATGGGAATGAAGTTCTCTTCAGTAAAAATGTCTGGTTAAGTGAAACTAGGATCTTAAATTAGAACATTGTCAGGAAGAGAACAGATCTAAATGCAACTGTTATGCATATTTGTGCCTATTGTCTAAGGCAGACATTCTGAAATTGTGGTTCAAAGCCAACTTAAAGTGGTACGTGATGATGGTAGCTGTTAACTGTGCTTGTACACAAGCACTTACTTGAGCCATGAGGTAAACAGATCCGCATAGAAGGTTTTTGCTGATCAGTTGTGAGTTGCTTCTCTATGTAGCTGGAGCTGCAGCAATCCACTCAGTAGTAAGTGCTCCATCCCACACTGCACAGCTCACAGTGCTTGCGTCGGGAAGGTATCAAGCAGGGTTAAGGCAGCAAGAAGCAGGGTTGGTGAGTCAGGGTGGCTTTTTTACACAGGGGCGTGTGGCTACGGTCACTATCACCTTGCTTTGTGTTGGTGTGATGTGTGGTCAGAAGGTAAGTAAGGGATTGGACACTTAACAGAGGCTCTAGTTTGTGAGGGGAGACATATAGTGAAATGGTAGACGAAAATGGAATTGAGGATCTCACTTTGATGAATGAGATTTTGCAGTAAGAGGGTTGGAGGTGACAGACGTACTTTTTTATATATGTGTACCTGGCCTGGCAAGAAGCTTCTGGTTTTGCATAGATGGTCCTATCACAGGTCAACACCATCTCTGTTGGTGGTAACCAAACGAGCTAAGCTTGGGAACTACTGATCAAAATCACTGGAGAGCATCTGTTCAGAAATTGGGTATCTGCAAAATCCATAAAACTGACAGAGGTCAGAAAGCCCAAATTTTACTAGCTAGTAGAAATCTGTATCTGGAAAACCAGAAGCCAGGTTTTCATTATTCCAAGAAATACTGCACAGCTTTCTTCAGAGAATAAATGATACAGCGTGTATCTTGAGCTGAATTTATACATGGCTTGGGAGTACTGGCCGGCATTATGCCAGACCTGTTCTAAAGAAAGGTGCAAAACTCCTTTTGGCATTTTCATAGAAACTTGTGGAGGAACAGAAGGAAGACAGAGACTCCACTAAATGTCTTTCCTTCTCCTCATGTGTCCTGTTCAATCAACTCAAAATCTCTTCTGCTTGCTGGTTGGAAAATGTGCTGAAAGTTAATCTTGTGTCTCAAATACAGTTGGACAAACACAAGACACAATTGCACATTTTTGTCAGGAAATCCTGCTGTTTGTAGCCAAATATTTTGCACTTGTGATGAAAAATGAGCAATTAATGTACAGATGAGAATTCCCAATAGCCAACATAGGAGCAGTTAAGAACATATCCAAGGTTTTGTGTGCTTGCATAGACCAAGACACCTGGTTATGGTGTTTAAGACAGAGGATGACAGCTCTGAAGACTGATTACTTTTGTCCAGGCTCTAAGTTTCCCCAAATCTTACAGGACAGTAAAAACAAGTTCGGTGTTCTTGGCTAATTTATGATTTAGCATTAGAGACCTCTTACATCTAGCTAAATCCAGATTCTCTGTTACACTGAATTTATGCTTAGCCTTGCAGAACTGTCTTGTATAAGGCAGAGCTAGTCGGAGTATAAATTAGAGCAGTCTAGGCATGTGAGCCCTCAGAAGTATAAAATGTGCTCTGGCCACTTCTTTCCATCTCCTAATGCATCCTGTGCTGGTGTCAAATGGTATCTGTGCAGGATCCAGTAATGCTGGCAGTGTATCAGCTGGGAGCTCCCCCATGGCAGGGGAATTCTTAGCTGACCAGAAATAGGGGCTTTCCAGATCCTTTCTACTAGAAAGCAAACCAGGACCTTGCATTTTTAGGGCTCTGGATATTTATGTGTTTGTTTATTTATAAGGAAGAAATATCACTTCACTTCTCCCCTCCTTTTTTTTTTTTTTTTCCAAATGCTTCAGAGTTGTGAAAGTTGTAAATGGTAGTATTTACAAATAACAATATTTGGTCATGGTGGTAATTTTATGAGAAAAGATTGACTTTTTGCCCCTCATTAGTCTGATGGACTCTGCAAAATCTTAATACGATGGTTTGTAGCAGCAGAACATAGAAACTTTTGGCTTTGGAATCAAATTTGGCTGAATTATAAGGCTTCTGTAGCCAAAGTTATGAAAAATTGACCTTTTACTGAATGGAACATTTATCTGTTTTGTTTCTGTGAAACTATTTTTATGAGAATATTTGAGTTATATGCTCTTTTTCCTGATAAATATAAGTTTAAAATAGTAGCTGTGGAGTAAAAATCATTGTAATTTAGAGCTTTTATGAGATAACACTTCCAGTGTGAAGTTTGGGTTTATGAGATTAAGAGCCAAAAAAAAACGAAATGAAAAATATTGTAAAAGCATGGCTAGAATTTCATGGTGGCTTACTTTAAAAATAGCACTTCTTTGACATTGAAAACAAAATCAGAAAAAAAAATATGCTCTCACTAATTACTGTGTGTAGCAGTCTGCAATAGGGCATTGTTTCAGTGTGCATACAATATTTTTTTAAAAAAACCCATCACACACATACACAATAGTTTAGGGAAAATACCAGTCCAAGACAATTCAGCCAGATGTGCAGTGCTAACCAGTTGCAGCAGTGCAATAGCATTCAAATAACAAGATGGAAAATTTAGAATGCGATCTTTAAAAAGAATCCATTTTTCTCCTCCAAACAGGATACCAGTCTAGGACTGTGTTGGCATCACTCAAAGAACAGCAATGCTCAGTATTAGCTTTTGATTTTAAAGTGATTTTTATTTTACTGTTACAAAATCAATCTTTTGTACAGCTTTTCATCAGGAGAAGATACTTTTTGTAAAGGAAATAGAATAATGCTCTAAATAGTCCCAGCTTTGTGTTTCATGGTAGCAATTAATGAGTACAGAAAATCACTTAGTACTTTTGAATAACTAGATTTACTTGAAAGATGTGATGATAGTGTTGCTGTCCAAATGTTAAATCTTGTGGTACTAAGTTCTGTTCAGCCACCCTAACATTTTTTCTGTTGCTCAAGGCTCGGCAGCTGTGCACTTATTGGGAAAAATGGATCAAAAGTGAATAGGGTTTATTTAATTTAATGTGAAATGTTGAGCATAGGAAGTTGAATTATATTTGGCTTTATCTAGACTGAGAAAAATCTAAGTCAGTCAGAATGATAAATAAAGGAACTAAAGATAATCTGTAATGGCACAGTGTCCATTGGTTTCAATTTTCTCAAACTATGGCTCAGATGACTTTGAGCGTGGGATTTTCAAAACATTCAGCATTGTCCTGTATTTAAGCAGTTACAATACCTAGTAATATTACTGATTTCAGTGGGAGAATAGATAGGCCAACTGCAATCCTTTCTACTTTGTTTCTGAAACCTGAATATTATGAGGGCTTTAATTGGATATGCTTACCACTTCCTAATAGTTTTTCTGATGTGTAATAGGGCTTTAATATCTAGCTATCTGGCAAGAAAATCTCTGAGTATTTGTATTGATAGTGTGACTTTGAAATAATGTGTGCTGATAATACCAGTTAGGATTATTTTATAATATTGCTGCATCAAAAATGTTTGGTAGATGCATGATCAGGTTATTTATACGAGAAATTCAAATGGCTTACACAAAAAATGGTACATAGATATTGTATTTTAAAGTACTGTTAATATTGAAAAATTTTAAAATTCCTTTCTCCCTGTGGAATTAAAAACCAGGGTTCTTTAACTTGTTAAATTTGACTATGTGTATTTGTAATCCACGGGAAACAGAGTACTTCGGAGCAGTGGTAGTCAAAGGCCATCATCGCTCATCAACCAAATTGATAACCTTCTATTTGAGCATGTTAGAGGGCAGATGAAACCAAGCCAAGATTGCTGTGCTTATGAGGTTATCCAAATACTATCTGACATATATTTTTCCATTTTGCAAAAAAGTAAGTATAATTACCTAGCAGAACATATATGAAGTTTAGGTAGTTGGGATTTTGTATGCAAACGGGAAGCAAATGGTAACTTTCAGCAATTTGTTCATAGTCAAAACCAGATATTAAAAATAAGGACATTCCTGGTGGTAAAAATAACCTCAAAATTTGGGCATCATTTTATACCTTAATAAATGAAGCATAGGGCTTTGTATTTCAGAAGTTATTTTCATACATACATACATATGTATGTATAAAACATGCACAGATTGAAAAAAAAAATCACCCTCTAACTAGACTTTAAATATGTCTTAATGATTGAGAATGTTTTCTTCTTACTGTAAAATTGTCATCTTTATCTATAAATGTTTCTTCTCTGTTTTCATTTCAGTGTGCTTTGAACCCAACCCTATAGAATTTGA